AGCCTTGTCAGGCGCCCCAGCAGTGGGAGGGACGCCAGGTTCTGTACCAGCAGAGCAGCGGGCACAACAGCCGCGCCCTGCTGTCCTACGATGGGATCAACCAGCGCGTGCGGGTGCTGGACGAGAGGAAGGCGCTGATCCCCTGCAAGAGGTAGGCGCGGAACGGCATGATGGCGCCAAGGGAACGCCAGGGCAAAGGTGCTTGGCTCCTCAGCTAGACCTCCAGACACTCCCTGCTCCTCCCTACCCCCAAGAACTTTACAGGGGCTCTTGGGGGATGGCGTGGTCTGCCCAGCGAGGCAGAGGCAGGCAAAGAAAGGGCTCACCAAGGGCAGGATGGAACAGCCAGCCACCCTAAGCCCAAGTTAGCCCCAAGTCTTCACTGCTGAGTCAGGCTCCCAGCACCTGGAGCCCCCTGCAGCCTAGGGCATGTTTTTTCTAGAAGTCACCTACAAGGGAGACACAAAATATTCTCTAACAATATTGTTTTTACAACTAAAAAATTTGAGTGTGTGTGTGTGTGTGTGTGTGTGTGTGTGTGAGAGAGAGAGAGAGAGAGAGAGAGAGAGAGAGAGAGAGAGAGAGTGTGTGTGTGTGTGTGTGTGTGTGTGTGTGTGTGTGTGTGTGTGTGTGTGGTGTGCCCATGTGGAGGCCAGAGGACAACTTATCAACTCAGTTCTCTCCTTCCTTCTACCATGTGGCTACTGGACAACACTGTAAAAGGAGTAGAGAAATAATTTTTAAAAGTTGCACACAAACTCATTACCCCATTACAGTATTAACATTTTTGTTCAAACCTTGAAGATTTTTTCTTTTGTAAAATTAGTTAAAACTCCCATTAGAGCACATGCAATGTCACCGTAAAACTCTCATTAGAGCATATGTACTAACTGCCACCTTAAAACTTCCATTAGAGCACATGTACTGCCACCTTAAAAATCCCCATTAGAGCACATGTATTACCACCTTAAAACTCATTACAGTACATGTACTGCCTCCTTAAAACTTCCATTAGAGCACATGTATTGCCACCTTAAAACTCCAATTAGATACAAGTATTATCACCTTCCTCCTTCATTTACCTATGTCCTTCTCTTGTCAATTTTTTAGTTGCTACTTATTCTTAACGAGCACACCAATTACAAAATGGAAGGGCATGTTATCACCCATATGCTCACATACAGACATGTACACATGCACACAAACACGTAGTAGTCAGTGTAGCTTTCCATTTTGTGATGACAGAGGACACACGTTTTTCTGGGGTGTCACCTTCTTGCTGGCCCCTTTAAGACCCAGTTTCTAATTTAAGATCACCACCTGTCTCCCTGCCTCTGCCCTCTTCTGCTCTCTCCCAGTGTGCTTCATATGGCCATGCTGGCATCTCCTCGTGGCATTTGTGCCGCAGGGAGGTCTGAGAAATGACCACGGTGTAAGACTGCAGTGGGCAGTAAGATTGGTGGTAAATGGGAACCATTAGTTTCTAGCACAAAACGAAACTTTGTAAAGCCATTTTGCCCAGAAGCATTTACCTTTGAAGTGCTTGGCTAAATTATGGAAAAGACAGAATCTTCTAAACCATCTACTTAGAGTATAAGACCTCACTTTACCAAATACAAGAGAGCCACCTTGCTCTTGGCTTCTGCTTTTGAGGCTTCAACCAATTATGGACAGTAAATATATGAAATCACATTCCATGTACTGAGCAGGTACATACTATTTTCTTGTCATTGTTCTTCAAACAATGCATAACATTTATACTGTATTTGTTATATTTATATTATATTTGTTATTTTAAACAACCAAGAATATATGGAAGGGTATTTGTAAGCTGCCTGGATTCTTTTTAATTCTTAGACCATGGAAAAAGCATATATGGATTTTGCTATCCACAGAGATCCTAGATCCATTCTCCTTGGATAAAGATGTGACACAGCAGTGTCTTTATGGATGGTTCAGAGCATGTGCAAAGACTGTCAAGAACAATGAATGTTTTTCATTGGGTCTTGAGGGACATAATGATATTTATAATTTGAATGTGTTATATAGGGTACTAGTGCTGAAACTTGGCCTGTTTTACATATTTTTGCTTAAATGTCCCAACATCACAGGATAGATTTTATGATTTCCATTTCACATAGAAACCCTAAGACTAGGGAGCTTGACAGACAGACTTTCCTTCTATCACACAATCAAGGCTTAAGGAAGCTGTGTGGATTCTTAGATCTATAATATACTAGGTACATACTCCTTCGTCCACTCTCCATCTGGTAAGCTTTTGTTCAGGGCAAACATTGTGTCAATTGTTAATGGAATAGGTTTTGATTTTAAGGCAGGCAATAGTCTGAGGGTGGAGTCTCATAAATTAATTATCCTTGTGTGGTAAGATTAAGGATTGATTAGCAAGGTGTGATGAATAGAGCATACAACCTAGGCTTTCAGAAGAAGGTAATATACCCATTTAATGGTCCTCCCAAACCTAAGTGAATCCACCAGGGTGACATATAGGAAGTATTTTGTCAGGGGGAATATGTATGTGTGTACCCCGGTTGTCATCTAGGAGTTTACAATCAGGGCCTGGTATGTTTTGAGGCCGGCAGCCCAGTCACTGTGGGAGATGAAGGCACAGAGTGTGATGGAGGTCATGCTGAAGGGGTTTGAACAATGGAATGTCATCACTAGGTGGCATAAAGATCACTGGATGCATGAATGAGATTTCATACTGAAGAGATTTACAAAAACTAGAGCAACGTGGAGTGAGTGTAGAAGTGGCTTCAAACATGGGGAAAACTGTACAGGAGTTCACATTAGGGAAGTGTTAGAGAGATGGTGATATATAAGAGCTCAAAGGTAGCACAATGTGAAGGGAGAGAGAAGAGCCAAGCAAGTTACCACTATTGGCACCCGGAGCCAACTGGTGGCCCAGAACAGGGATTGCTCTCTCCACTCAGGGTGAGGGTGAAACGCTACTCTCTAAGTGTATACGTGAAGACTATGCAATGGTTATACACTTAGTGAGTAGACATGATGAACATGGGCTGGAATGGCCAGCGTTCACTGCTGATGCTAAGCAGTGTGACCAGGAGAAGATAAGGGTTCATTCTTACCCACGAAGTATTTTGAACTAAGAAATTTGACTATATATTCTGATAGACTTAGATCTGAATCTCATTTCTGAAAGTGAGCTTTTGTAAATTACTTTAGCCTTATGGGATCTTGGTTTATTGTTTTATGAAACAGGGATACTTATAGTAACTAGTTTATTCAAAGGCTGTGATGAGTCAATAAGCTGAAATATATGAAGCACGGAGTACATGGTCTCGTCTCATAGTGCTGAGAAGGTGTGTAGTAAGTGGTCATAGCTGGTTTACTCACCACCTGCCATCATCATCCTGGTAAATTTAGTTTTCCGTGTACTACAGATTCATTGCCAGCCCCTTTGAACTTACGCACTTGATTTAGCAGCACACACAAGTATCCGTCCTCGGGGAACTGACTCAGTGCACAGACTCAAATGCTGAACTATATTTTAGCAAGTTTTATAGCTGGCACAAAGACCAGTCATCTCAAATCCACAGAGATGGACTAGATCATTCTCTCCTTGTATTCAAAACTATGTGAGGAGCCAAATTATGATTAGGAAGTGATGAGCAAAGAGTTGGAGCAAATACATGAACAAAAGCCTGATGATTGTTCTAGGATCAGTTTTCATGCACAACAGTGAGTTTTTCACCACAAATAAATGTTTTATCCCAGAATAATATTTGACAATTATCAGGTTGTGTGGGCTAGTTTATTTGTGCACTTGAAACAAGGTGATATCATTTGGGAAGAGGGAAACTCAATTGGGAACATTCCCAATTGTGAGGCATCATTTTTTTTTGATTGATGATTGATGTGGGAGGGTCCAGGTCACTTGGAGCAGCACTAGGCCTGAGAAGGTGATCTTGGATGGCATAGTAGTTGAGTTGAGAAAACCATGGGGAGCAAGCCAGTAATCCATTTCTTACATGTCTACTGCTTGATTTCCCGCTGTCAGGTTCCTTCCTTGAGTTCCGACCCTAACTTTGATGATGTACTGTGATTTGGAAATGTAAGACAAAACAATCCTTTCCTCTTCAAGTTGCTTTTGGTCATGCTGTTTTATCACATCAAGAGAAACCTTAACTAAGATAGAAAATTTATACCAGGAGGAGGGTATTGCTGGGGCAGAACTGACCATACATTTTTGGGAGGATTGTGGTGGCATTCGAACTTAGGGATGGAAGAGTTTTTGGGTGCTGTGAGCTTCATAAGCTATTGTAGAAACTGAGAACATAATGTGTAAAGCAGTGTAGACAGTGGAAGTCTGACTTGTGAAGTTTGTAGTGGAGAGTTTCAGAGTCCCTTAAAGACTCTGTGGCTGTTCAAAAATTTGAATTAATAGCAACTACAGTGAGAACTTTGCTTTGCTGGTACAATTGATTCTGGTTATCTGAGGCTAAGAAATCAGCTGTAATTAAGAAAAGACTGGCATCTTTGAGGCTAATTTTCCTGGAAAGTGTTTCTTGAGGTTCAGTACACAGAAGTATCGGTCCACAGGGGGCCAAGGTTGAACCTCATGCTGGCCGCATAATTTAGTAATGTATAAGAGTTTCTTATGTTTTACTGGTTGTGAAGGCATCAAGAAGTCATGGAGAGCAGTTAAATCTTGGCACTGTGAGAGGCCACTGGTGAAAGTTCAGCCCTATTTACAGTAGTAGAAGCTCCAGGATTAAAGAGATCATGGAGAAAAGGTGAGGCTTGGCACCATGTGACAGGGCCAGAGTCCCTGAAGAGGTCCTGCTAGCGAAGGTGCAGCCCACTTGCAGCAGTATTTTGGAGGTGACAGTGCTATGGGGTGGCCGCCAACAACAGGAGCATCTGTTAAGTAGAGGTAGCCAGAACCTATGAGATAGGCTGTGTGTGCTGCCAATGGCAGAGGTGGAGTCATGGAGCCCTTGGAGCCCAGGAAATCATGAAAATCATGTTCACACTGAGCTTTTTATGTTGTTGGACTTTGGTTTTGCTTTAATCTATTGTAACTGTGCCCTGGCTCCCTTTTCTGAAATAAGAAGGCTTTTTGTTGTTGTTGTTTGTTTTATTTGTGTTTGTTTTGTTTTGTTTTGTTTT